ATGCACTCGTGGGATTAACTTAGTGCTAGGGCATTGAATATCGAACAATACGTCAATTTCAATGATTTTGGGTTTTTTTGAGACACCCTGTACAGTACTTGTAAAGTAAAACTTAGCCCTGTTTTATACGTCGAATTTCGGTCGCGTCGAATGCGATTCAAACAATAGATAATGAAGCTTAATGAGGTTTATTATCCCATTATCTATTGCATCAATTGCATTCGACGCGACCGAAATTCGACGTATAAAACAGGCCTTAATATAAAAAGACCTGTTTTATACGTCGAATTTTGGTCGCTTCACTATCTATTGTTTGAATTGCATTCGACGCGACCGAAATTCGACGTATAAAACAGACCTAATTGTCATTAAATAAATGCATAAATTTTGCTTTATGCACTCGCGTGTGCACTAATTTTGACAGTTGTGCTATTTTAAATTCCCAGGCAATTAAAATCTTTTGCCCTTAAAGGCGGTTTTCCACTAGGCGAAATTTTTCGACCGAATCGAAATTTTCTTTTGTCTTACAAGCACTCAGATGGAACTAATCTTCTATCTTTTGAATTTGAACAATAGAAATTTCGGTTCGATCGAAAATATTCGCCTAGTGGAAAACCGCCCTAAAACATGTCGATTTCTTGGGAAATTCCGAGGTTGCGGTTTTTTTATACACCCTATACAGCTCAGAGAAATAGAATTTATAGCCGCCTTTTTCTTAGAGTAAAAATGCTATTGTTGATGAGCACTTCTTCACTTGAACTTGCATTTCCCGAATTCACTATAGGAGTATAGCATTTAAAAGACGACAACAAACTATTTTGAATGTCCCGTTTTACGGGCCAGGACAACGAGAGCTGCATGAATCAGGGAACTACTCTGCCAAAATTTTAGAAAACACCGGAAAAGTTCGGATCAAGAAACAATCGGACAAAGTAGTTACAAAATCTGCCTAATTCAGCTTACTTCATTACAATCTATAATAAAACCCAGGTCGTTAACAACTGCCTCCATGCGCTGATGTTCAAGTAAATTGTTAAGGGATAGATTTAAAGGTGCCCTACAGTCCGTATGTAAACAAAGCTTTTGTTTACATTTTTGTGTCCAAAATATTGAGCTTTATTCGACAACTATTTATACTTTCAAGCTTCTAGAGTATAATAAATGAACAAGAAACAACAATCATGCTTTGCAAGAGCCCAAAACATAGTTAAACTGTTTGTATCATAAACAGTGGGCTCCTTTGTGCACATGCGCAAATCGGACTGTAGGGCACCTTTAAGGACCATGTCATGCACGGCCTTTAAAAAACGAAGAAGCGCCTGAAATGACAAGAAAGTTGACGGATTAGCCTTTGTTTTTTTTGGCAAAATGCAGAGGAGTTAGGGGCAGTTAGCCATTACTTTCCGACAGTTTTGAACAATTTTTCACTCTCACAACTGGCCAAAAATGAAAGGCTAACTTCTTAAGCCAGTTTTCCATTAAAAACGGAATTTTGTTGGCGGAGTGGAAATTTTGTTTGCCAGTGATTTCTCAGGTTGAACCCTGTGGTTCAACCTGAGAAATCACTGACAAACAAAATGAATGATCAGAATGAATGATCAGGTGTTGCGGGTTTTTAACGGTTTTTATAAATAAATTTATAGTCAACCAAAACTATTCTAAAAACATTCTCAAATTAGTCAAATAAATACATTTTAGCAATAAAATATATCTGTTGACATGATAGTATAAAACCTTTACATTCTTTTAACTACTCCATGAGCTCGTTTAGAGCGGTTGATGTAACATTTTCTGTGGCCTACATTGGTGCGCTCATTATATATAATATACCAGCAGTAGGCTAATCACTGGCGGCACGACCGCATCGCCTTCAAAGTCAAATATCTCCGCTCAAATTTGTCGTACACCAAAACAAATTCGATTACATCTTTTCACAAAGATTTCTCTTTCTAAATAATATGGTTTGATCATAGTTTGGGCAAATTTAGCGACGAACGGAACCAAAATCTCCTCAATTTCGGATACTGTTCAAAATACTTAGGGCTGCTCGAGCACGATCGTGGACGTTACGTAATCAATACATACTGACAATAACCCTTCTTATCGCCTTGCGTGGGGTGGGACAGCATCAAGCGACAAGTTATCGTCGGATTTGATATGCTGCCCCACCCCGGGTAAGAATGTATTGTCAGTATGTATTGATTACGTCACGTCCACGATCGTGCCCGAGCAGCCCTAAGTATTTTGAACAGTATCCGAAATTGAGGAGATTTTGGTTCCGTTCGTCGCTAAATTTGCCCAAACTATGATCAAACCATATTATTTAGAAAGAGAAATCTTTGTGAAAAGATGTATAATCGGATTTGTTTTGGCGTACGACATATTTGAGCGGAGATATTTGACTTTGAAGGCGCATCGGTCGTGCCGCCAGTGATTACTAGCCTTCTACTGGTATATTATATATAACTAGAAAATACATGCATGCATGCAGAAACCCTCGCCTTGCCGACAAAACCATTGTATTTTCCAAACATGAAGCATCCAAAGTAGTTGCCATGGTAACACGATAATTTTTTAAGAATATTCTTACAAATGAAAAATCACTTAAAAATATCACTTTTAATTACAAAATTATCAATTTCCCGACATATATATGTTAGGTATGCTATTATACGTAATATAAGCTTCAATTTAAGGTAAAATTCAACCACAAACGCTTTGCAAAACGTTTTAAAGTGTTCTTTATAAAACTAAACTGCTTTTATTCTTTAATAATTAAATGGCATTATCAATAAACTTTGAGTTTGCAATAAAATATTTCAAATTCTAGTATGCAAATAACTTCGCTTTCTTTTTTATTTAAAAAAATTCAATATAATAAAAAAAGGGAATCAATATTAAAGACACACTGAAATGGGGCCCGATATGCTGTCTTGTTTAGTTGTTTCCTTATACGCAAAGGCCGTCGGGTTTTAAAGCAATTATAAAATCAATATTAAAAACAAACTTACCTTCGTTAACGTCGGCTCTCTTCTTTTAGCCGATTCTTTCGTCATTTCTTTCTTGAAATTTTACAAAATCTTGCAAAAATGCGAGCAAAAATGAAATAATTTGCAAGAAATTTATCAATCATCAAATCAAGAAATGTTTGGCATGCTATTTCGCTGTCGTCATGCAGTCGTTATAATGCAAACTTTAAATTGGACCAATCACAGTGTTTGCTATTCATGACAGTCCGCCATATTTTTGAGATCAGTGAGGATGACCACCCACGGTTGGTGACCCACGCCCGCGATATTTGATGAACTTTAGACTTCGCTAATGCTTTCGTTTCCCCGGGTGTAAATAGCCGGGGGGAATTAGTACCCTCGCACGGCGCTTCGCGCCGTTGGCTCGGGGATGAGCACACACAATGTAGGCCACCGAAAATGTTACATCAACCGCTCTAAATGAGCTCATGGAGTAATTAAAAGAATGTAAAGGTATTATACTATCATGTCAACTATATTTTATTGTTAAAATGTATTTATTTGACTCATTTGAGAATGTTTTTAGAATAGTTTTGGTTGTGACTATATTAAAATTGTATAAAAACCGTTAAAAACCCGCAACACCTGATCATTCATTCTGAGATTGAGCCGCCTGTGGTTGAACTAATTAGAACAGACAAAGAAAAATTTCGCTACCTAAAATATCTCTGAAAATATATTTTGACAAACTCAAACCGATTTCGGTGTCTGAAATTCAGCTACCTATATCTCTGGTTGGTATTTATATATTATTTTGACAAACTCAAACAGTTTTCGGTGTCTGAAATTCAGACACCTAATTTATCTCTGGTTGGTATTCCCCGAGCCGACGACGCGAAGCGCCGTGCGAGGGTACTAATTCCCCCCGGCTATTTACACCCGGGGAAACGAAAGCATTAGCGAAGTCTTTAGACTTAACTTTAGTTCATCAAATATCGCGGGCGTGGGTCACCAATCGTGGGTGGTCATCCTCACTGATCTCAAAAATATGGCGGACTGTCATGAATAGCAAACACTGTGATTGGTCCAATTTAAAGTTTGCATTATAACGACTGCATGACGACAGCGAAATAGAAAACATTTCTTTATTTGATGATTGATGAATTTCTTGCAAATATATTTCATTTTTGCTCGCATTTTTGCAAGATTTTGTAAATTTCAAGAAAGAAATGGCGAAAGAATCGCATAAAAGAAGGGAGCCGACGTTAACGAAGGTAAGTTTGTTTTAAATACTGATTTTATAATTGCTTTAAAACCCGACGGCCTTTGCGTATATGAAACAACTAAAAAAGACAGCATATCGGGCCCCATTTCAGTGTTTCTTTAATTCTGATTCCCTTTTTTATTATATTGAATTTTTTTAAATAGAAAAGAAAGCAAAGTTATTTGAAATCATTTTATTGCAAACTCAAAGTTTATCGATAAAGCCATTAAATAATTAAAGAATATTAAAGGCAGTTTAGTTTTATAAAGAACACTTTAAAACGTTTTGCGAAGCGTTTGTGGTTGAATTTTACCTTAAATTAAAGCTTATAGTACGTATAATATCATACCTAACATATATATGGTGGGAAATTGACAGTTTTGTAATTAAAAGTGATATTTTTAAGCGATTTTTCATTTGTAAGAATATTTTTAAAAAATTATCGTGTTACCATGGCAACTACTTTAGATACTTCATGTTCGGAAAATACAATGGTTTTGTCAGCAAGGCGAGGGTTTCTGCATGCATGTATTTTGTAGTTATATATATGATTTTGACAAACTCAAACCGTTTTCGGTGTTTAAAATTCAGCTACCTTATTTATATTTATATATGACAATGGTTGGTATATTTATATTTGACAATATGAAACTTGTGTCACGATCAGTCATGTAAGTATGAATACTGCAAATATGCACTTTAGCATTAAAATAATTTCAGAATGGTACACGTGTCTCGTTTAGATAAAAATGCTGTTTTTTTGCAGATTCTCTGGAAAAAATTAGTATTTCGATTTGTTAAAATGAAATCTTCGCACTTTTTGTTATTTTTTTTTAATTTTTGCAAAAAAAAATAGTTTGAAATTATTGAAAATAGTTTGGAACGGGTTCCATATGTTTTTGACTTATTTATGATACGCTTCAAACATTGTCTGCAATATTCTTCAACTAATATATAAACATTATATACATTAGGTGTTAGGTGACAAATTAAAATTCTGTTAAATCGGAATGAGGTTATAACAGTCTATCATAAATGCATATTGCATTTCAGTAATGTAGGATCCAAATAGCGTGAATGTGGGAGAAAAAATTATAGCGGAAGGTATGCATGGACTTGGCAAAATACAAAAAATTTCCTGATATAGTACTTTAATTTAAAACACCTAGCTATAATGCGTTTTAGATATGTTTGTAGTATGTGACATGTATGTGCATTACTAAAGTGCATTACAAACACCTGTGCTGGCCTAAACCAACAAATTATAACACAATATTTCTCACGAGTGCGTCGTATGAAGCACGGTCATATTACATTTATCCCGTCTCATGGAACTCAGTTGAAAGTGAAAATTCATCGCTTTAATCATGAAGTTCTTTCGTATCATCAAGATTTCTTTGTGGATTTTTTTGGTGTTTCAGATGCTGGACGACTTTACAGCTGCACAGCTTAACACTATGATACCAATGGGCCAATCGGAGACGTTCCCTATCATACATGCCCGTAAGTCGATCTGCTAAACATTTTTATACATTAGTTTTAAATATAGGCTAGTACAGAAAGTCTTTTGAATTTTTCGAAGTTAAAAAGAGGGAACGTTTACCGAGGATTTACAATAGGTTTTTGTAGTTCAAAGCCGATATACTCTTGGTTCAAATTTTAGAACGACCCACGGCAAACCTTTCTGTACGATAATTATTGAAGTGTCCCCGGAAACTTCTTGAAATTATATACAACCGGCACATACAATTTCTATCCCTCGCTGAAAATATTTAAATATATATTTCACCAAAATTATTTTACGTTCAGCAAAATCTATTGTATTCCCTCTTTGCAAATCATTAAAAGCAAGTTTATTATATGTTTTATACTCTTGAGTCTGGTAGAACTTTTCTTGTGTTCGCTCTCTTAGCTCAACAGACGGCAAATTCTCTCATGCAGACCGAAAAATTTTCCATTTTCACAAATGATTTGAAATTAAGACAAAGAGAATTGAGTCTAAGTTTCAAATTTCTCTCGAGAAATATACTAATCGATTTTTACTTTTCGGTGATTCACTTTCAATCGTTAAAGGACTGGCAAAGATTGGAAACCTTTTAAAGATTTTGAATTTTTTGTCTTTTGATCTCACAGAGAGAAAAATAAGTTTGGATTTTTTTTTGTGTATAAAGTGCAAGAATAAGCGCTTTGAAATTTCAAAGAAGCTTAAGTGTGGGGAATGTCAATGAAGAGCGTCTCGCGGAGAAGTACTCAAATTATTTTCGACGTTTGTATGTATAAACAATTGAAATTTTCCAATGTTTTTTCTCCGCTCTATTATCATTAGTCGACATTTCACATTTTATCTTCAATACACGACTAAAAACCTTCGACAATAACATAATGAAACATAAATATGCTTGGTTGACTAAGTGTGAAAGATGCTTTGGAGATATGACTCCTGAAATAAGTTTTTATAATCTGGTACTTAGTTCAATAGACGGGAAATTCTCCCATATATGCATGCACGCCGAAAAACTTTCCACTTTCTCGAATGATTTGAAAGAGAAAATAATTGAGTATAAGTTTCAAATATATCTCGAGAAACATTGATTGATTTTTACCTTACTAATGCAAACTTAAACAATTTTTATGGGTCATATTTTCAATGCAACAAAATATATCATATAAAAGCTCTGGTGAGAAGCAGTTAAACAATGCGTGGTTATTACATTCAAGGAAGCAAATACTGAAATAGCCTACTTTCAGACAAAATCACCAATTATTGTATTGTACCAAAGCCAATGAGATGAAGCATATATTACTGAGAATGAGTTAAAAGTGTTGTTTTAAGTAAAAACAACATCGAATAGATTGAAATGGAGACACAGACATAAAATATAGTACGTTTCCAACCACTTGAAAATTGCAGAGCAAACGCAGCTGTTGCTTTATATAGACAACGTACGTGCATATGCAACAATGAATGTAATTTAAAATTATATCTTCAAAGCCAAAGACAATGTGAATTTGCATGTTCATTCCTGCACGTCTTTACCGTTAAGTAATTATTTATAAAGTGTTATAAAATTTTGATCAAACTCGAGCTTTCTGGAGTAAAAAATAAGCCGACGAATGTTGATTTAAATCCCTAGAAATGTCTATAATGGGAACAAGGTTTCAAGGGAGAGTGCGCGGCTGCTTTGTTCAAGAAATATACGGACTTTTAACAAATGCCGAAAGCTGCTGGGCGAAACAAGGAGTTGAATCTATAATTACCCAATGCAAATATATGTCATCTTTTATAGGAGTGGAGTAGACAGGATTTAATTTTTGTCATTATAGACCTTTCGACAAGTTTCCATTCTATATCCATATTATGTATGCCACTATGTATACTGTACATCAATTAAAGTCTCGTAAGTCGATTGATGTGCCGTTTAAACAAAATGCAGGAGAATAAATATCAGCTGCATTGCTGTCGTCGAAGGAAAATGGCATTGTTGCCATTAATTGTCTCTGACTCAGATCCATATCTTTACCATCCAAACTATAAGGTCTTAAAATTTTACATAGCAGTTTCCAATTACATATATATAAATAAACGAAGTTCTGTGAAATGTTGTAAAGAAATACAGATATTATATGGTTTCAATCACGTGATATTTCAGCATAATTTGACTCAAGTGGGGGTCAATCATTGAAATGAAGCCAACCAAAATAGTCCAGCGGATATGCACAGATATTTGAGAAAATCATGCACTTTGTGAAGAAAGCACCAAATTCACAGGAAGTGTCGACTTTAACATGATAATGAATCTTAGATATGGAGGCATCACCAAAATTGACGCTGACGGCTTAAAATTTAGAATTTCTTATATTCTCTTATTAATCTCTTATACAATTAAAAATTGTGAAATTGCAGGTTCACATATAGCAAAAATGACATGCGTCATTAGAAAGCTTACAAAAAACTGCATATAAGACATTTAAGCAGTTACTTTGATTTTCCAACTCCTCTGAAGTTATGAGCGGTTGAAAATATGTTTTAGGGCTAGTGTCCAGGACTTTGGCGGGATTTTTCCCTATTTATCACGTTTTTAAATAGCAATATCTGGAAAACTGCTTGGAAAATCAATCATCCGTTTAAAAGTCTTATATGTAGTTTTTTGTAAGCTTTCTAATCATGCAAGTCATTTTTGCTAAATGTAAACCTGCAATTTCACAATTTTAAACAGTAATAGAGAGAATATAAGAAATCCTAAATCTTAAGCCGTCAGCATCAATTTTGGTGATGCCTCCATATCTAAGATACATTATTATGTTAAAGTCTACACTTCCTGTGAATTGGGTGCTTTCTTCACAAAGTGCATGATTTTTTACTTTTCCGCTGGACTAAAAGAGCTAAGAAACAAAATGCATGTCAACGCATCTTATGTAAATGAGTTCTCTGACTATTATAAGACCCCGTTTACACGGTACCAGACGAATTTGGAGCCGGTGTCCCAGGAAATTTGGCCCCCCCAAAATTTGGCCCCCCCGGGCCAAATTTCCTAGGAAATTTGGCCCCCCTGGGGGCCATATTTTCTAGGAAATATGGCCTCCCCTTCGGAAATTTGGCCTCCTCGAAAACATAGTTTACTTTGTCGCTATAGCTCGGAAATCGTGAAGTTTCTTCTTAAACAAAGATCCTAAAAATGTTTGTCAGTATTTATAGTTAGTTTGCATAATTTATTTGTGTCGAAATTCTTCATTGCGGCCAAGAGCTAAAAGTTTGAAGGAAAGCATAATATGTGTTAGTGCAGTCATGCCAGACGCATCACACATGGGTATCTGTAGAGGACAACGTTAATGCACGATGGCTTAACTATAACTAAGAACACAAAACGATTTTAGAGATAAGAATTTCTAAGATATTACGAGTTATTTAGATCTATAAATTCAGTCACATAGTATAAAATTAGTCAGAATAACAACCGCACTTTAGCAAACGATGACATCATGCGTTGGCGAATATGTTAATATGCACGCGTCTAATAAATAACAGGGAGTAATTAGCGGTAAAAGTAGACTTTTAAGTGAAAACGTTTGTTCGAAAAACAGAATCAAATGAGTGGTTACTTCGTAAAAAAAATTTTCCTATGGGTTTTTTTCTTTCATATACACAGTATATATAATTGCTCGTATGGTTGGGATGCATTACAGAAGCATTCTGTATGCTTCATCGCTCACAAAAATATTCCGCACACACAAAAGCACAAAAGTTTAAATGACGTTCCGTTTCAATAGCTTAATGATACAGCCATTATTTAGGAGCTGTTCATATGTCCCACTTACCGAGAGGTCTTGCCTACCGAGACGAATATTTCCGTACGTTCATATGGAATATTTCGTCCCCCTTGCCGAGATGAAATTACTGTAGCCGTTCCATAATTAGCGTATGCTACATTTCAGTCAAGCAACACAAATACTTGCGATTTTAGTGTTTTTCTTCGTTTGTTTACAAGAAAAAGTATTGCTTTAGGTACATGTTAACGTTGTTATTATGTTGTTCACATGCCTTATTAACGTTGTCTTCTATGAAGCTGGTCAAAACCAAACGCGAAAAGTACGCTAAACTTTAGCTCTTGGCCTAGATTCTCGTCAGTATTGCAATTCAATAGAGAATTTTGACACAAAAAATTACGCAAACTGACTATAAATGTTGAGAAAAATTTCTAGAAATTTGTTTTAGTAGAGCCTAGAGGCCTCACGATTTCCGAGCCTAAAGATCTGAAACAAACTATATTTTTTAAGGGGGGGGAGGGCCAAATTTCCGAAGAGGGGGCCATATTTCCTAGGAAATATGGCCCGGGGGGGGCAAATTTCCTAGGAAATTTGGCCCGGGGGGGCAAATTTTCGGGGGGGGGCCAAATTTCCTGTGACACCGGGCTGAAATTCGTCCGTTTTGGTCTTCCGTTTACACGAGAACCACGGAACCGGAGGAATTTGAGACCCCCTAATTAACAGGACGAATTCGCGTGCATGTGCGAATTTCAGCCGCCCCAAATTCGTCCGGTACCGTGTATACGTGGTCCAAAAGCCAATATAAAACAATATAGACAATTACATAACAGCCCTTCTTTACCCTTGCCACGGACCCTTGACAAACACGTGATGTCATACGAAACCGGTGAATGAATAAATTAGTATTTTTTAGATGTGACTAGATTAAAAACAAACATCATCCTTCAATTGAGAGAAGCAACGTATGAGGTTTGCGGCCTTAATTGCGCAGAAAACCGTTTCTGCGTTGCATTCAACTACAAAGAGAAGTCTGAGGGGAATGAATGGAACTGTCAGTTAACAAATACGACTCAACATAAATTTGACAATAATGCCAGCGAAAACAAGCGCGTTTGGACGTTCATCAAAGATAATGTAGACCGAAGTCAGGTGGTAAGCAATTAGTATACTTTTTACAAAATTTGTGGACAAAGGGTATACCTTCCCATTAATACCACAATCATGCAATTCATGTGTATACATTCTTATGCATATAGCTATATATCGAAACCTTATAAATTTGGTCGTTCTATAAGATGTTTAGTTTCGGCCCAAGGTCTGGTAAATTATTTGATAATTCCTATAGCAGATCTATGTAGCTAGCTCTTTTTCAAAGTTGGACATGACGAGGTTTTGAACATGCGGTCTTATTTTTTTTAACAAGTTCACATAAAATTGTCGTGTTTTGACTATATTTAAGCTTTGATTTATATGTGCGTTGCTTGACCAAAATGCAGAGCAACTGACAAATAACAATAGCAGAAATTTTGGCGTTTGACATTCAACTACAAGGGAATTAGTGTACTGAAATGTTGGTTTAAATATGAATCCACTATTTTAAAGAAAAAATGTATGTCGCCGTATTTAAGCTTTGTCAGTCTCTAAAATAAGCTAGATACCAGCATGTTTGATGTGATTATGCGATGAAATATTTTGCAGGCATCGTGCAGAGGAGAAGTGAATGAATGTCGCAATGGTGGAACAATGATCTGGGATCCAGAGAAACCTTTCAACTGTTTATGTAAGAAAGGATACGAAGGAGAGCTATGTGAAAAAGGTAATAATTATATTAATTAATATGAAGGCATACATATACGCAATTTGAAGACATACATATAGCCTAACTCCACATTACAACAAAGTCACCGTTCATTCGTAACCAAGTCTTTCTAACTAATCAATATATCAACTAAACAAGTTAAGTGTTTCCACTAACTTTCAACACGCCGTAATTAGATCTAGTAAATAAACAATTTTGAGCCATAATATTTTGACTATATTGACGAATGCCCTGAAGGAAACTTCACATGTCACCCTAATATTTGGGTAACTTTAAATCAAGAAGAAATGTAATATATAATTACAGGGAAAAAACCTCACCTTTATTGAGTTTTCAGCATCAAAGCTGCTGGATGTTATATTGTAAGATGAATTGTAAATTGCCTTTTTCTTTATTTTATTTGCTGCTGCAATTTCTAATCTCTGATCACGTCATATCTGGCAACCAATATACTATACATCTTTTCGGAGTATTTTAAATAGGCCTATCAATAATTTATTGATTATGCTATTACGGTTAGGCTTAGAACGTTTGCAGGTTCCTATTACTAAATTGTGTTACTATTAGGCTCAAGTTGTTGCAAATTGGTTAGAGTTTGGATTAGAGTATGTTGGTTTGGCGTGTTTGCTATGATGTGGTATTATACAATATAGTATAGCGCAGTATTCTATAGTATGGTATGGTGTGGTGTGGTGTAGTTCGCTGTGATGTGGTATGGTATGTTGTGGTTTGTGTTGGTATGGTATAGTATGGTATGGTATGGTATGGTATGGTATGGTATGGTATATGTGGTATGGTGTGGTATGATGGTATGGTATGGTATATGTGGTATGGTGTGGTATGATGTGGTATTGTGTGATAAGGGGTAAAGTGGTATAGTATTGTGTATAGTATGCTATGCTATGCTATGCTATGCTATGCTATGCTATGCTATGCTATGCTATGCTATGCTATGCTATGATATGCTATGCTATGCTATGCTATGCTATGCTATGCTATGCTATGCTATGCTATGCTATGCTATGAAGTGGTATAGTTTGCCGTGTGCGGTAAACAGCTCATCGCAACTCTTCGCAGCAAAGAAGTGCGCATGCAACGTGATATTCCTCAAGACAACATTTGCACTTCTGTACTGCGAAAATTTGCGATGAGCTGTTTGCCGTACACTAAGAATTTTTGAAACGAATGACAGAAAATACCAAACATGTTTGATATTTGTTGTTAACGGCAGGAGTGACAAAAATCCTGAATATTTTCCCCGAACACTAGGATTTTTGTCGCACGTAATTGGTCACGAATAACAAACGTGCGTGCAACTTGCACTAGTGTGCTCTGGGCTTAACAGCTGACGTGACGACCATTTTAAACTTAGTGTTAATTTATGCATGCATGTTTCCAAGGTTATGTATTCTCACTGAAATGTCTGTAGTAGGTGGATGTACATGTCACAGGCTCGTATGTTAATGTTATTCACGATAATTTGCTCTAGTCCTAATCTTTGTTTTATTAGGTATAGATGTTAGAACAGACGTTAACGGGAGTTAGCATATATAGGCCTACATACTGATGAATTTTCACATTTGAATCGATAATACCGATTTTGCGAAATAGTACTCATTTTTGAAGACAAATACGAGGAATTAGTATACCATATATATATTAGTTTTGACTAGACAGACTTATTAGTTTTTGTGTATTTTATTAACTCGATCATTAACATGCAGCTGTAGCCTCGCATGTATAATTATAAGAACTATATAGTCTATATAGACTGATCAAATTATCTTAAAGATATTGTTTGCTTATACTGTATTTTATATAGTTTTGCCCCATTTTGTTTACTAAATAAACCGCGTCTTGGTGCTATTTAACAATTAGACTACGAAGCCGAGTTAATTGTCTATGAGCAAATAGTCAACGAGGCGAAGCCGAGACAGAGACATTCACTCAGAGACAATGAGGCTGAGTTGTCCAATTGTTTTAGTATAAACCACATAAAGAAAACTGAATTTTTAACTTGATTTTTATGTAAAATAATAACTTTTTATTAACGAAATGAGCATTTAAATGGCTTCCATTGGCCGAGCCTTTGGCGACATTTCGCCTTGGCCTTGTTGACCACGTACTACTCAGTTTGTCAATTCCCAAGAATGACTTGAAAAATACTATTTGTGAGTTAAAAAACATGTCGTAAAGCAGTATAATAGTAAGGGGTCGTTATACAAGCAACGTTTGGCCAATTAAAGAAGGATACAATTAAAATGGCCAAAATTTCAAACACGGAATGGTTTCCCGAATTGTTACTAAATAATGTTTACGTTAAAAAAGCAGAATAAAAATGCACGCAAAAGAACCCGAATGTTGTTAAAATCTTTAAAATATCTGGCAAAATAAAGAGGCAAACCATTTCCTTCATCTAGTATGCATATACAAAAGTTTAGATTAAAATGTAATCGAAAAACTCGATTACAAAAAGACTAAAAAAAGGGAAAAACAAACTCGACCAAAATCTCGACATTCGAACGAAAAAAACTTTAAAATTTTACCGTATGTCAGCAGTTTCCAAGAGTCTTTCTTTGTGTGTAGTCCAAAACCAAAATTAGGCCATTTTGATAAGCTTTTCCCCTTTAAATACAGCTTTTAATACTTAAAAACGGCGTTTGACTCTCGCAACCTTCGCCGCTTATTGCTACTAGTACGCGGCTATCACTAATAGCCTACTATAGTAGCGTAGCCAATCAGAACGCGCAAAATATGATAGCCTACTAGTACGTTTATACTAACAAACTTATAGATAGAAATAACATGAACATAAACATGCAGAGGGAAACATTTTACAGGAGTTAGGTGATCAGGGGTCGGTTGTTCAAAGCTGGTTAGCTAACCCTAACTTAACCTAAAATACACCCTTTCGATAATTACGTCACCACATACTCTTTGGTCTTGGAGCCTCGTTCTCATTTGTAAATTACGCAACGTGATTGGCTCACGATTTATGAGAGCGAGGCTCCTAGGTCAAATGACGTAATTATCGAAAGGATGTATTCAAAGCAAACTTCCTGACAGCTTGCGTCTATAAATCTGGAAATATTTCTTGTCTGGATCGATAGGAGTTTACTTCTATGAAGTTTTGAAATAAACAGACGTGTAGAAATACACAAACTAAAACGGCGGGTTAAATTTGAAACCAGGGTTAGTGCTAATTACCCCACCTTTGAACAACCGGCTCCAGGAAGATAGATAGATATATAATATTTTATAAGCCTTCATGAAGCACATTTACAAGCTAGCATGTTTGATGTATATAATTCCAAAGAGCTTTGTGAGCATATATTATTATGAATGGACTCAGAGCAGCTGCTCATATGCTCATAAAGCCCTTTGACATGAGATTCTGCACATGTGCAACACGTCTAGACATATATCAAGTCATCAGTTTCGGGCTTTATGAGTAGCACCTCTGCATGATTCTATATATGAGCAGCAACTCTAAGACTGAACCCATCTTCTCGATACTACTACAACAAATTTAGTATCTATATACTGTACTATAAGCTATAATAATTAAAAACTTACGTCATATAGGTTAATATAGTAAAGAGAATTTGCATTTTACTCTGTTTAGCAAACCAAAAACTGTTATCATCTTGTAAGGAACTACTGCAGAGAAACAGGTTTGTGAGTCACCAACGTTGAAGGATTTTGCAAAAGGAAATTTATAGTGTAAATTTTTCACATCTAGTTAGACCTAACCAAGAGCAACTGCGAAAAATGCAACTATAGGACCTCTGGCAGGAATCAAACCCGCAGCCTAGTGATTCCGGTATCGGCGCCCAAACGAACTAAGCTGCAGAGTGCAGTACCATTACTGTGTGATACAACGAAAACCTTAATGAAAAGCATTCGATTTGGAATGTCGTGGTACGGTTGATGTCTCAACATTTCAAGGGACTTTAAGGGGAAGAACAGTTAAAACCAAACTGACAGAACTATATTCAACATAATGAATTAGTTATTTTAATCACACTGTGCTGTAATGTCCTCTACACCATTAAGCAAAAAAACAAAAGAATCAGCAATTTTTTCTGGCTTATTGGAAATGTGGTGCAAAACCTCACTCTAAAATATCCGACTAAAGTTTAGACGATGTTACAATGTGGTCTTGCTAATATTCACATAACTTCGTACGATTTATAGGGCACTAAGCAATGGTATTTACCAACTACAAAATACAGATTCAGTCGAACAATATCAAGTTTACTGTCATATGACTGAATTATCAGGGTGTGGCCAAGGAGGTTGGACACTAGTGATGAAAGTAGATGGGAACAAGGTATACGGATAATCTTATATCCTAACATAATCTCTTCGAATGCATAAACATGATAAGCAATAGTATATAGAGAAATGAGTAAACTTTTTGCTTTCCAGAATGAATTCAACTACAGCTCTCCTTACTGGACAAACAAGGAAACCTACGCCGTTGAAGATGGACTTGAAGGTTTGAATGAAAAACAGACTAAACTTGCTTCTTACTGGAACACACCGTTTAACAAAATATGCCTCGGAATGAAAGTCAATGGTGCTACAAAATGGATAGCATTAAACTACACCACAAACTCGTTACACAGTGTGATCGAAGACGGGACTTTTAAAGGAACAACTTTTGGGAGGAAAGCATGGAAGTCTCTTATCGATGATTCGTATTTGCAAGAAAACTGTAATGAAGAAGGATTTAATATACAAGGGGTTTACAACTATGGCACGTCGCAGTGGAACATGAAGATACGAATTGGTTTGGTGGCAAATAATCAAAACAACTGCGGTACTTGTGACTCGTGCATTGGCTTTGGAACTTCAGTAAGTGGATGCAATGATGACGTAAGGAACACAACGTGCGGCAATATGGCATTTTGTAATTATAAAAATAATAAGAACACGGCAGCATTTGGATATATACTCGTACAGTAGTATTTACAACTATTATAGAGGGTCCTTAAGGGGTAAAATGAGAACTGGGATTGATCTATTTTTAGACTGGTAAAATGGGATTTGAGTTGCTGGGACTGGGATTTGGTCACTGTGAATGGGAAATGAAGTCCTCAAAAATGGGGATGGGATTGAGGTAATGCGAGTCGATTCCCAATTTTTCCACGTTTTAAGTATTTTAAAATACAATTTTGATCCGTTTTTGGTGTCTTTGGTCATGATTTTTGTTGTTAACTATATTATTCACAGCACTACCTGCGAATAGGCATACTCTGGCGCCTGGAATTCTGGGTTTTCTGATTATGCGTCTCTCAGAATGCTGCAAATGCCATTTTCGGGATTTAAATTTAAAAATTTTCCGTGCCTTTGGCACGACCCCCTCCCCACTATTTCATAAAATGTTCGCCACTTGCACACACGGTGGCTTAAAAGGTCTTAAAACTGTTTATTCTACCGATAAATAAAGGGTTTTTATTGACTGGGATTTCAATAACTCGGACTGGGATTTCTAATAAAAATCCAACTGGGACTTGGATTTTGCCAAAATTTCAGGTGGGAAATGGGATTGGGATCCCCCCCCCCCCTCCTTCAGGACCCTTTAATAGTGATTTAATGCATTTTGGTATGATATAATGATTTTTGGTAAAGAGATCTTTAGCATTAGCTATCTTACATTTAGAGTTATAGCTATCTTACAGCAGTTTTCTATTGCGCATGTGTTATTTTATGATCCTTTTTGAATGCAACAAACTGTATTTTGTGCGGTTCAGACAATATCTGTAATATTTCAATAATTATTATTATATGTTTTATGTTTACATGAAAACTCAGGAAAGTACTGCAGGGGGGAGACGGGTGAGGCGAAGAAACTGATAGATAAGAGCAGTGGTGTTAAGTAACGAAGTTAATATAACACCACGGAAAAACGTCTGCGCATGCGTCAACATTACTGAAATCTGTATTGCGAACGTGACGTCAAGTGTTCCGAATGTTGTCAAAAACTCAAAATGGAAGCCACTTCGATGTTTTGCCTATTCTATGAAAATGCAAGCGGAATAATGAGCGTGACAACCTAAAAACTAGAAATAATTATAGTCTACATGTGCAAGAAGTAGTATTATGCAAGAAAGTAAACCAAAG